AGGGCCTTGTGCATGTGAGGGAAGCACTCTGCCAACTGAGCTATATCCCCAGCCCCACTCATCTTTAGAACTTCCATCTTCTTTCCCATAAAACAAGGAATAGGACTTAATCTCTAAATCCTCTTCTAATTCTGGAAGTCTCACATTGGTTCTCTGAACATTTTAATTCTCAAGAAAAAAAACAAAAGTTCCAAAACAAATGTGCTTGGGAGCTCAGTTTAATTTATTCTGTCTTACTCAGATGTGTTATAGGTAAGATTTTATGAAATAATACTAGTAGTTTTAGTATAAATACTAGTAGTTTTAGTATAAATAACATAGTATTAGTAATTTAAATACTATATAAATTATATTATTGTAGTTTCATACTCAAGACTATGTTCCCCATATTTTTTCTCACGTTCTTATAGCTTTATCTTCTTCACAGTAAGATGATTGGGATGTTGTATTCTTAAGTTGTGGATTTTKCTGCTCTCAACTTACATGAGCTTTCATGTAATTATTCCCTTCTTCAGCATAGGAAGCACTGCAAAGGACCTTTTTATGGGATTTCTTCAATATATAGGTTTTTTATTACAATATTAAAAAAAAGTTTTGCCTATAAGTAACCTTTCTAAAGAATGAGATATGAATATGAAGTTTCAGATTCTTTATAAATAAAGCAATTTTGTTTGAAAAGGAAAGAGATTTTGAAGTATATAACCATCCTCTTGGATATTTTATGCAAATAGATTCTATAAAGTAGAATAGAGCTACAAATTGATCATAGAGGGTTTCTTTCAAAGTAAGATCTAATAGAGCTAGAACTGTTTGAGGAATTTGTGCCCTTTAGGAATTAGACTTGTTTGATTTTTGCTATTTTTGTATCTTATAAATAAAAACTGATATAGTACATACTGTTTTGAATAAGGAACTTACTGGTCCATTGGGAGCCTTCAGGTCCTTCTTTTTGATAAGAGGGAGTGTTGAGGAAGAGAAAATAGGAACTTAAGTGGTCTTACAGGTTGATCAAATCAATTCATCTTAAGAGCAGAGAAGCATTTCCATTGTTGTAAGGATAATTACAAAGAACTTTGAAGAGGTGGGGGAAATGCAACCTCATCGATTGGATTATTCAAGTATGACAATGCTGCCAGTCTTTAAAATTGTCTTTTGAAATCATTTATTTGAACATTTTTAAAAGAAAAGAAGAAGAAGAAAGAAAAAAACTGCTTTTGGTTTCATCTTAACTTGATCATTTTTCTCATGACTGAGACCTAATTAGTTTTGTAATATTATGATTTTAAYAGAAAAAATCTAAATATTCAATTTTATTAAAATTGAAAAATAATAATAAGTAGATGTTACTTAGTTCTTTTTAGGTTTTAAGTCAAGGAAAGAATTCTTCTCAGAAACTTCTTTGTATACTTCATTGTCTAAACTGTCAGTTCGTGCTTGGATCTAAAGTTAGAAATGCAGATAATAAAGCCATATAAGTAACTCACAGGCCAGCAGGCAGGCAAAGATACACAGAAGTAGATAAATAAGTGATTTAAACAGTAGTATATGCAGGTTCTAGGTTGGTGTAGACAGAGGAGCAATGGATTTTAGCAAGGCTGTTCACAGAGGATTTGGATGGAAAATATAACTGGAGCTGGAACAAGAAACATGTAACACAGTTTTAATGATCTTCATTTGGAGGTGCTGGGTAGGAAGGAGATTATAAGTTAAGAGTGGCATAGACAGACACAGGTATGGATATACAGGACACCATGGTCCATTGGGGGCCTGCAGGTCCTTCTTTTAGATTAGAGGGAGAGTTGAGGAAGAGGAAACAGCAAGGAAATAGATATACTGGTGCTGGTTATATTTTGATGAAAGAGGCACTGTTTACATCAGAAAATATAAAATGATATTTTGGGGGGCAAGTCTTATAGCAATCTATATCAAGAGTTTTAAGTTAATTAAGGGGAGGGTAGATACTTGGAACATTATTATAAGGAAACAAGATGTTCATAAAATTTTATTTTCAGAGATATTGATTATAGTTATATTTATAATAGCAGGAAAAAAGTAGGATTGAGGAGAAGAGCAGACAATAAGAACTACCAGAAGCTGGGGATACAGTAGCAAGTAAAACAAGTCTCTGCCTTCAGGAAGCTTACATATTGTGGGATTCGGTAGCGTTCTATAGAAGATAAAACAATATTTAAAGTTATTTTGAAGATTAAATATAGTATTTAAAATCTTTGAAGATTAATAAATCAGCTGAGTGGGTGACAAGTGACAGAAGTGGTGCTATTTTAGATAAGAGTAATTCAGAAAAGGTAAATTGGTATGTAGAGGAAGACCAAAGTAAATGTGGGAGCAAGTCACCCAAAATTCTGGCAGTAAAGCTCAGCAGGCAGGGGAAATAGTATACATAAAGAACTTGAAGCTAGTGTTGGATATGTTCTTAGATCAGTAAGGGAGTTCATTTCTTCTGAAGCAGGGTGAGCCAAGAGAAGAGTAGAAGATAAGATCATTGTGTAGAACCTTGTAAACCAGGGACTTAGGACTTAATTCTGCATTGAGGTGGAAGACACAACAGAGATATGACATAGCTTAAGTTTTAAAATGATTATGGCAGCCTGTGAATTGAGAATGGAACAGGGAATTAGGAATAAGGAAACATGGACCAGGCAAAAGATTGTGGTATGGAGGAGAGGGGAGGTAGKAAATTTGGTGTGGGCTGAATTTTTAAATAGAACCTGTGTCATGTGAAAAAGAGAGGTGACCACAAAGTTTAACCCAAACAACCAAAGTTGGCATTTATTGAGATTTGGAAAACTAAGAGAAAGCAGTCTTGGGAGGAAGTTGAGTCAATTTTAGATGTTAAGTTTGAATTGCTGTTTGATATTGAAGTAGAGATAATGCAATTGGACTTGTAAAATTATAGTTCAGAAAATAATTTGAAATTAAGTTAGAAATGTGAAGCCATTGAGAACTAAGAGAGTAATGACTAGAAGCCAGGTGAAAGTCTTTCAAGGAAGGAGTAGTCACCTGTGTTGACTATCCCTGATCAATATTGACCATTGTATTTGAGTATTAACTAGTGCATTTAACTATGTAGAGATCATTGATTACCTTGCAAGCCTCTTTCTATTGAATATTAGGAGCTGAGAGCACCTGATTAAAGTGGGTTCAGAGAATAGGTAGAGAGAAAGTAGACTTAGCAATTCTTTYGAGGAGCACTGCTGTAAAAGGGAACAGAAAAACTAGCTGAAGAATATATGGTCAAGGAAAATTTTTTGTTTTAATATGTGGGTTATTATGACATGTTCATACACTAATAAGAAAGTGTTGGTTGGTGTAGACTCATGAAATACTTTAAGAAAATACTGGTGCCTGGGCTCCACCATAGAGCAGTGAAGTTAGTTTCCCAGCAGAAGACTGTGACATTTTCTAAAAGCTCACCATATGCATTTCATGTGCAACCAGGAGTGGGTTGGGAGGATAGCAGTACAGGAGTGCTGGGATAGGTAGTTTGACTTATTTGGTGGTGGGAACATGAAGAAGTTCTTTTGATTCTTTTTTTTTTTTTTTTTTCTTTAGAGAGAGAGAGAATTTCTTTTAATATTCATTTTTTTAGTCTTCGGCAGACACAACATCTTTGTTTTTATGTGGTGCTGAGGATTGAACCTGGGCTGCACGCATGCCAGGCGAGCGCGCTACCACTTGAGCCACATCCCCAGCCCGTTCTCTTGATTCTTCAAGTTGAACAGCTCAGAGAGAGGGGAAGTAAGGAACAGTGCTGTAGATTTTAGAAGAGGATGTGACGTTGTTTTAGTCAGCTTTTTCACTGCTGCAACCAAAAGACCTGACAAGAACAATTAGAGGAGGAAAAGTTTATTTAGGGGCTCACAGCTTCAGAGTTCTCAGTCCACATGTAGCTGACTCCATTGCTCTGGGCACAAAGTATAGCAAAACATCATGATGGAAGAGTGTGGTAGAAGAAAGCATCTGGGAACATGGCACCAGGAAGCAGAAAGAGACCTCTCCTCACCACGACAAAATATAAACCCCAAAGGCACGCTCCCAGTGATTCCCTCCTCCTCTGGCTACACTCTACCCACTTTTAGTCACCACTGACTTAATCCCTATCAGAGGATTAATTCACCTCTTATAACCCAGTRATTTTGTCTATAAACTTTCTTGCATTGTCTCACACATGAGCTTTTGGGAGACARCACATATCTAAACCATAACAGACTTAATTGCCTTGGAGTGTGTGGATTTAACCAGAGAAATGTGGTTGTTAGTCAGACCACGTTTGGGATTTACTTTAAAGTGTGCCATAACATTTAAATGTGACCTATTGTGTTTTCTTCCAGTTGTTTCAGAATAGGTGCAGAGTAGACAAATAGTTGATTTCCTGGGTTGGGGTCCTTGATACAATATCTAGTCAGAGTTCTAATATGAGTAGAACAGGTTGTGGTGATGCACATCTGTATTTTTAGTTACTCAGGAGATTGAGGCTAGAGAATCACAAGTTCAAGGCCAGCCTGGGCAATTTAGCAAGATCTTATCCTAAAACAATCAAATAAGAGCAGAGCACAACTGTCTTTACTACAGAACAAAGATTTATTGTATACTATTTTTGAAACATTGTACAGATGGTTAGATCCTAAGCAATAAGATTATTTGTTCCTAGAGTTCCAATGGATCATAGATGTAAATCTCACCTTCCTTAAATGAAGGGAATAGGGTGAGCTTTGTTCAATAGAGAAATAGTGTGCTTTCATTTTTTTCTGACATGTTAGTAATGTGACTTGGATCTCTATATATTAATCTCTACTTTTCACTTTTAATATATTACTAATGTGTACCACTTTTCCTCTAGAAACCTACATCTGTATTGAAATTTTACCRAGAACTTGGATTGCCACCAAAACAGAAAATTAAAATCTTTAATGTAACAGATAATGCTGTAATTAAACCAGGTAATCTGAGGTCGGGGAGAGGAGGGAGGTAAAAATACCCAATTATGTGACTTGTTTAATGTTAGCTATTTCAATAAAGCTGAATCTAAAATACAAAGTCCCAAACACTTTATTTTTAAATATAAGATACCATCTGATTTAATCACTAGGAACAAACAATTCCTTGTCTCTTATAAATGGAGAAAGCTGTAGGGGACTCTTTGTTTTCTGAGAGAGGGAGGAACACTTTTTTTTTTTTTTTTAATGTAGAGCTTCTTATTTGGAAAAGCCACTTTCAAATAAATACACTAACTTTTAAAATTCAAGGTTCATTGTTTGCAGGCTGGCATTCTGTTATGTGAAGAATAACTAGGCTCTCTTTAGTGAGAAAATGTAGCCTGAAACTGGAGAGTGACCTATAATATTAAGATTCTTATTGAAAATTTCCACAATGTTTTACCTGATCCATGGAATGTCAGAAAGTAGAATTTGGTATATGATTTTATCTGTCACAAATGCAGCTTTTTAATGTTTTTGAACTTAAAAGCCCCCTAATTTCTTGAATATGAATTCTAACAAGATTGTAGAAATTTTTAACTTTTATATCTTGAAGGCAAAAAGTAAATTGAATTATAGATAATTTGCTCTGAAATGGTTTTAAATAAATCTTTGGCATTAACACATCTAATTTTCTTAAACCCTTTATGCACATTTAGGGTAAGAATAAAAATTGAATCCACACCAACTTTTTCAATTGCTCTGACCATATGAAGTTATTTTTTTTATGGATCAAAAATGGTAAAATAGCAATTTAAGTCATTCAGCTTCATAGAAATGCACCCTATGTAATATTCTTGGAATCTCCCCAATTTTTCTTTTTTTAAATTAATATTTTTGATTGACAGATGATAACCATATTCATTTAATGGGGTATATTGTGATTTTKATATATGTAGGCAATGTGATTAAGTCCCTATTTTTTCTTAATTCAAGGTCTTTCTCTTGCCAGGTAAATCCAGGTTATGTCCTACCTTAAAGAAAACTACTGGGCTGGGGGTTATAGCTCAATGGCAGAGTACTTTTTAGCACGTGTGAGGCACTAGGTTCAATCCTTAGCACCACGTAAAAAATTAAAAAATAAAATAAAGGCATTCTGTCCATCTACAACAACAATAAAAAATTTAAAAGAAAAAGAAAACTACTCTCTGAAATCCCATTGTACTTTACTACTATTATACAAACTAACTGAAATTAGTWTTTAGTTACATTGGTTCCTGGGTTTTTTGTTTGTTTTTATCTCTTTTTTGACCATATCAATGTGATTCTTTACCAAGATGATAAATTTCTTAAGGTCAGGGGCCTTCTTTAATACTTTTGCATTTTTAGCTATATGTGTTTKTAAATATTTTGTAAGTATTTGTTAATAATTGCCAAATTAATTAGTTTTCATAAATGTTAATATCYAATATACATAAACAAAATACTGTGAAAGCTTTCATCACAAAATTTTAATTTTTTAAATGACTTATTTCCCAAGGAAATTTAAAATTTACATATAATTAAATGCATATAAATAAACATTTTGTAAATGTTTCTATGTAGAGTTAGGAGTACCTATAATGACAATTTTTGCTCTTGCAAATATTGGGGCACATATTGAAACAATGRCCAGTACATCAAAATTCTAATACATATGGGCTTTTTAGGGCTATCGTGACCATACCATGATCATTACCTAGCATATGAGGGGCCTGGGTTCAGGTAATTAAAGTTTCTATTTTTCTCCAATGGGTAATAAAAGACTTGCTCAAGCCCCAACATGTTTTTAGTTCTTTTCTTATTTTTTTAATGTAATATAGATAATATATCCTAGTTCATTTTACTTATTTACCAAAACAACTAAGAATTTTCAGATTGTGAGTTCATCAGCAGTCATGGTGTCACTCATTTTGACCAGCTCCACTTTGGCCTCTGGCTGGTGGCTCCCTTCAGCACCATGTCTCTCATGCTAGGCCACCATGTTCTTTAGCCGACTAAAAGACATGTTTGTTGAATAGTGTCATTGTTTGGGTATTTCTAATGTTTATAATTGCAGAAGAGACCTTTCTGTTTTTTATGAAATTTAATAGCTAAAGGCTTCCTGGTTCTAGTGTTTGTTTTAAAAAGTTGTTTCTGTGTTAATATATTTCATGTTGATTTTTTGTTTTCTTTTCACAAAGGCACTCCTCTTTATGCTGCTCACTTTCGTCCAGGACAGTATGTGGATGTCACTGCCAAAACGTAGGTCCTSATAGCCGTCTCTTTTCCTTTCGTTGTTCCTCATTGTTATATATAAGTGATATTTTTTTGAAAGCAAAACTTCTTAAATGTTTTAACAAGAGTCTAAGTTGGTAGAAATCAACCAACAAATGTTAACTTTGAGTCATATGTAGACTGGACATGGTATTTTTGTTACTGTAGCTTTTTCATATCTTACCATTGTTGCCAAATAGCTTAGTGCTGGCTAGATGATCTCCAGGAAACATCTGGATCTTTTAAAAAATTTTAAAACTTCAAAAGTTGGTTAATGTTTCTGGATTTAACTGCAGCTGAGTGCCAAAATAAACCCCTGTTAACAAAAAAAAAAAAAAAAAAAATGGTTAATGTTACTTACCAATGGGAGGAAACAATCAAGCTCTTATATAGGTTTCTATAGAAATTATTCTGTAAAAGTTGTTGGAATTCAAATGACAAGAGTAAATAAACTCCAGGTATCAGCTGTTATCCATTCCTCTTATTCTCTCATATAGGTCATAATTTCATTTTTGTGTATAATTTTTCACCTTTTCGTTATGACATCTGTAAGAATATTCTGACTAGAAACCCTTTGAAAGAACCAGGTGTCCACATGTGATCAGGAATTGTCTTGTGATCTCAGTGGCTGAATAGAGTTTGTTGTTGTTGTTATGTCTTGTTTTGGATTTTCTTTTTTGTTGTTGTTTTATTTTTGTGGTGCTGGGGTTCAACAAAGCAGCTTTTCTCCAAAGAGTCAGATATAGCCTTCATTTCCACACCATCATCACCTATTTTCAAATATGGGCCATTGCCAAAGCTACTAGATACCTTTATCTCTGTTCAACTATTTAGAAGTGAAGCAGGATAAACTGGTAGGGTAAGTTCTCTTTTTAGGGGGAGATATGAACCTGATGCTTTTCTTTTTTCTTTTTTCTTTTCTTTTTTTTGCTTCCTAATTGTCATGGACTTGTCCCAAGAAATCACATGTTTCTTGGGAACTTTGGTTTGCTTTCCTTTTCAACAACTTGAAATGTTCACGGTTTGATTTGGTTAGTTGAGGTATATGTTGTAAATCAGATTATTTTATTTTTTAGTT